TTCCCTCTTCTGCATTCCCCTTTTCTGTTGCTTTCCAACATTATATTTATTTTTCAAATTATTTTTCTTTTCTTTGGTTGTTTTTTTAAGTCTTAAATTCTCCATTCTCTTTCCCCCCTTTCCTTTTTCTTCCCCATATAGAGTTACTTGTTCATTAAAGATGGCTTCTTCTTTGTCCCAGTCTTCTTGTTTTGCAGTCTTTTCTTGTTGTTTCTCATAGTTGCAGATCTCCATTTCTAAGAATTGAAAAATGAAGCCAAAAGAGCCCTTCCCTTCTTGTGCATCTTCTTTGTATTTTTTAAGTTCCATTTTCAATTCATCCAAAAGTGATGCCATTGTAAAAATTTTAAACAACCACCCAATTGGTTTTAGTCATTCAAATATAATAACCAAAAATCCAAGAGTCACCAAGCAATCCAAATACACACAAGCTGATCTTATTACACTTTTTTTTTCACTTTCTCTTCCTGGGGTTACTATTTAGTTGCAAAGTTTCAGTTAAAATGTATCTTTTAGAAGTCTTGTTGAAGTTTTACTTTAGATTCTTTTGAAGTCCAGGCAGTCTCCTCCCTCCAGATCCTGCCCTTATTCTTTTCCTCTCCCTTCCTGCTTATAGAAGAAAAAGGTTTTAATGTCCAGAAATCTTTATTGTCTCTTTGGCATTTACTTATATTTTCAGCTTAATTGCCTATTGATGCCAAGGCGGATTTTTCTGATTTTTTATTCAGATCTCTTAGTTGTCAATGTAAGGAAGGAGAGAGAAGAAAAAAAAACCTTTCCCTTTTCACTTTCTTTTGCTGCTTCCGACTCTTCTTTGGGAGCAATGTTATCTTTTGTAAAATTTAAATTCCAGGGTACCTTAGTTGTTTCTTTTTTGACTTAACCCGATCAGCCAAAACTTTCACTTCTTATCTTCCTCCTGCACGTTCTTTCCTGGTTGAGTTCTTCTTTGAGGTGGCCATTTCTGACCACCGCTCCTACCGCCTTCAGGAAAGGGAGTTTGGCCAGCTGAGGAGGAGAGATATGGCTCTCCTCGACCCTGCTGGCGATCTTCCCCCTCTTCACCACCTCTACGGGGTGGCTTAGCCCTGAAACCAGCGGCTCGGGGCGCTCCAGCGGCGAGCCCAGGCAGAAACCACGCACGATCATGGATTCCTGTCTGTCGCTGAAGCCCTTCAAACCGGAAGTCAGTTTATCACTTTTAAGAGAAAACTATTCAGATTGAGCTGTACTAGTGTTTAGGGAACATCAGCTGAATCGCTAATATATAATAGTTCTCCTTCTGGGCTTACTTTATACAACTAGTTTGTCATTCTGAAACAAAACAAGGGACTAATTAAATCATTTGTCTGCCATAGCATAGTTCTTTTAACATCCTTATAGTTGGTTCAAAGATAACAATCATGTTTCATAAGAACTAAACTATTATTTCATTTGAAACTACTGTTGTAAATTTTCTATTGCCATTGTAACTTTTTTCAGCATTACAAGATAGAGCAATAGTCACCAGTTGGACATTTAGGATGAGGTTCTGCAAAGGACAGGTGCATGGTTTCCTGTGTATTATCAAAGATGGTCCAAATGTCCAATAAATTAGCTGAATATATAACCCCATGAATTTAATAGAAAACATTGCTAAATATAGACATGGCTGCCTTTGCTCTATGTCTTCAAATGGGTCCATCCATGTAGCAGTGTTAAGCTGATTGTTTCCTGTGCTGAACTAGCTGAGAATGAAGTTGGCTAAATATATTCCTGTTTAGTTTTCGATCCATTTCTTAGTTTTGGCAACGATGCTGGTCATATATAGTTACCACTGAACCTGGTTGGTAGATTCCTCCTGCTTCTTTCCTACTCTTAGCTATATGGTGGGGGGGGGGAGGAATCAATTATATTCCTTTGTATGAATGGGTCATTCTATGGACACATAGTTTCCACTTATAGCTCTTGTTTATGAGCTATCCTCTTCTTTTGGATAGAGGTTTGCCAATCTTATATAAAACAGTAGATAGTTTTACTTTTCTTGTTCTCACTTGAATCCAAATTAATGGAATTCTTGTCACTTTTTACCCAGCATTTGGGAGTTTCAGTATTTCACAGTTTCACTGGTCATCCTGTGAACTGAAGGCCATTTTATCTTTCCACTGCTCCATAGTTAGGGTAGTTTTCAAGAAGGAAACAAAGAGAAAAGTCTGCTCTTTGATCAATCCTCTCTGACCTTAGTCTAGAGTCCAGCAGACTTTGTGTAAAAAGTTTCACATTTGGAAGAGCACAGTCAGGCCAGCAGTCCAAGACAAAATGGTTATAGGAGATGCTGATCGGTGATAGCAAAGGGAAGGCATGCCTACCCCAGAACATTAACTAATAGGAATGGGGAAATTTACCTATAATAACATAATATGCAGAAGGCAATCTGCAAAAGTCTGCTTCTGCTGGTGGAGTTTGGAAAGTACCTGTTTTGATGTATAGCACACACACACAAAAAGATGAGTGAGGGTTGCCTTCCCAGCATGCTTGGGGTACACTGAGGCCCCTGCCCTGTGTTCCTGTCCTCAAAAAATGATAGGTAGTCATTTTCATGTCCAACGAGCAGACCTGTAATTATGATTCACTGCTGAGCAAGGCACCCTACTGGCTTAACATAAAACTATAAAATTCTGCTGGGTTAAAATTGGTATTTCTACCTATGCTTTTACATTTCTTTAAAATGATATGATGTTAGACTGGCATTGCATTGGCTAAGATTATCTAATTCAAAATTGTTCCAGGATTTTAAAAAAGGAAAAACTTCAAAAGAATTTCACTAAACTAGAGGAAACTGTCTTTATGTAACGTCATTAATTAAATGATTTAGAAAGAGACAAAAAAAGAATGTAAATCATGAGATCTAATAGATAACAAATGGCCATGAAGAGAATCTTGGCATTATGGTAAATATGTCAACAAAATGGTGACTCAGTGTTCGGTTGCTGTGAGAAAGGAATTAAATATATAAACTGCATAATGCCCTATTTTGTGTGAGTTATGGCTATATGATTTATAATTTTGAATGCTGTGTTCAGCTTTAGTTCTGTGGTTTGGAAAGGATATTGTAGAAGTGGGAAAGATATGAAAAAGAGCGAACTAATTATGACTAATAGTCATAAAATTGGAACAACTTTATAAGAAATGTTACATTGATGGATAAAATAAGAAGGTGAAAACTTGACACATAAAAATAAGACTGGTGAAAGTGGGTATGAACAGGTTTTTCTCCCTAAAATGGAGTAATTCAGTCAACCTGAATAGCAGGGATTCAGAAGATAAAAGAAAGGAATTCATTTTGAGAAGATACAGTGATGCTTACTGGCATGGACAGCTACACAAAAGAATTATCATGGGGAATAAAACTAGTTTTCATATCATTTTCCCTATCTGAAGTAATATTCCTCTGAATAACAACTGCTGGAGATCATAAAGCCAGAAGATACTAACCTGCTTGTATGCTTCCTGATAGTATTTTATCAGCTGATGATGGATTAATTAATCTTTTGATCTTTCCAGCATGATCCACAAACAAGGCCATGGTAGCCACCACTGAAAGCACTACTATTGCATATGCATTTAATACTATGGCAAAGGCACATATACAAATATATCATTTTTTATTAGGCAAGCATAGACATATCCTACTATTGTAATGAGTCTCTTCTAATCTATTGTTGAATAAAGTCCATGAAGGGAGAAATTACATATCCCTTCCCTTTGTTCAGAGAAGAAAAACTAGTGCAGGCACACACAAAAGATTTTCTTTTACAGCAGCATGAGTTCAGCCAAATGTTTTATGTGAGGATCTATCCAAGACTCACTATGAAGAGCTTTGTCATGTGTCTCACATAATGAGTTCAGGCACCTGCTCCTTCAAATACTCTATCAGGATAATTTTGACACTGCACTTCATGGGAATTTAATTTCATAGACTTCTGCTTAAATAGAGATTAGAGTTTCTGCCAAAACAATATCAATTGAAAAGATGACATTATAATTAATATAAAGCATTGACTAGCTCTATCTTTCAACTACAAACAAGACACTACGTTAAAATTTTGCAATGTAATCATATATGTACCTACTGAGAAGCATGTCTAATTGAATTCTATCCTAAAGTGTGTAGTTATGTAGCATGTCCATTGAAAGGTAAACCTTACTGATTTCAAGAAGAATGTTTATAGGATTGCAGCTTAATTCCCCCAACATATGGTGTGGTAGGCAACAAAAATTAATTATTTTGAGCATGGAACATCTGATATTGAAAACTAACCTACCACCATTGTCTGGTCCTCAGATTTGGATCTCTACTCTTCATCTATAGCCATCTGTCTGCCTGTCTACATCTATCTGTCCATCCATCCATCAACCTATTCCTCTTATTGTTTTTATCAATGGATTCCAAATTTCTTCATGCATTTATAATGATATTTCTTCCAGAATTATTTATATTTTGAGATAATGAGGTAATATTATGAAGTTCATATTATAATGCCTAAAGTCGCTGTGAGTGAGTAGGCGGCTATATATATTTTCTAAATAAATAAATAAAAATGTACAATATAAAAATATTTAAATGATCTGACAGCACAATTAAAAGCAAAAATTAATATTGTAAAGTTCTTGTTTATAATTTATTTATTTATTAAATTTCTATACCTCCCATTTCACCTAAGTGACTTATTTAAATATAAAAACTATATTTATTTATAAGAATATGTTTTCTTTTATTTATTATTTTAGAGGCTTCTTAACCCTGCTGTAGCATTTGTTATACTCTATTTACATTTAAAACCTCCAAAGGGGGTTCTACCTTTTTCCCCATTTGTGAATTGACTTGACTTTTTAATTCATATACTTATGTATTTCTGGAAAGCTCAAAATATATATAATAAATAATAAAGGTCAGGATAACAGCAGTAAAGAAACTGTTTTTTATTACTGATTTTGGTAACAATATAATTTTGTCCTACCAAGTGTGTTTCCAGGTAGAGTTTAAGACTGTCGGTCTCGGCTTTTGGAGGAGTCCAATTTTCTGTGGTTTCCATGGCTTCATTTAACCATTGAATGAATTCATCCAACTTGCTTACAAACCCCTTGAAAAAGAGAAAACAAGAAAAGACAGTTGTTTAAAAAAACATTGTAAAGAAATAATATGGTTATAATACAGCTCTGCATCCAGTAACTAGCTGTATATACTAAAACAATGTGATTATGAAGAATGAAGGGAGAAAAGGAATTGGGCCTAACCTATATTGAGAAAATTTAGGGCAGCAATGAATATATAAATTATAGGTTATAGATTTCTTGTCATAATCATGGGAAATCCCAATTTCATCAGAGGCAATTTTGGAAATTTATGTTTTTAAATGGAGGGGGGAAAGAAATCTGTAATGCCAAAGGTTAAAAAACAAGGAAAGGCTACTTTTATTATGTATTTTAACCCTCAAGGTTTTAGAATCCACTTTATAAAGGTTTTTTCTCATAATTACAGCTAAAAGTAATTATAATATCTGAATAGTATATGCAGAATTGAAAAGTAACAGCTGATTTACCATGCTATAGAACTAACTAAAAATAATAAATTTCAGGATAATATTCATGCAATCAATATTTGCATCTCAGAACATTGGGGACAATAGGACAGGGATGGTAGGCATGATGGTGTGCTTATGCACGCCCCTTACAGACCTCTTAGGAATGGGGTGAGGTCAATAGAGGTTAGTTTGAGGGTAAAGGTGTGGGGGTTTGAGCAGGTGACAACAGAATCAGGTAGTGAGTTCCAGACATTGACCACTCTGTTGCTGAAATGTACTTCCTGCAATCAAGTTTGGAGGGGTTTACATTAAGTTTATATCTGTTGTGTGCTCTTGTGTTGTTGTGGTTAAAGCTGAAATATTCATTAACTGGTAAGACGTTGTAACACATGATTTTATGTACTATGCTTAAGTCCAATCTTAGCCAGTGTTGTTCAAGGTTGTCTAAGCCTAGAATCGCAAGTCTGGTGGTGTAGGTATTCTGTTGCAAACAGAGGTATATAGTACTCTTCTGGTAAACTACTTCTGGACTCGCTCAATTGTATTTATGTCTGATATACAGTGCGGATTTCAGACAGCAGAGCTGAATTCAAGTATTGGTCTAGCAAAGGTTTTGAATGTCCTAGTTTGCAAATCAGTATTACCAGAGGAGAAGCTTCATAAAATTAAATTTACAACTCTTAAAGCCTTTTTGGCAATACTGTTGCAGTGAGCTTTGGGGATTTGTTGCTGCCATTTTGTTTACATTGCTCTGGCTTCCAATTCACTTGTTATACTTGCAATGCGTCAGAAAGCATAAAGTCTAAATTGTTTAGGACCAGATTATTGCATCTTCTCTCACAAATGTATGATCCTTTGCAATGTTGTATCATATCTGCCAACAGATTCCTGACTAGCTAGGCATAGAAGACGTTCTGCTAGGATGCAACATGATCGTTCCTAAGGAAGCTTGCTTAGCAACTTTATTTATTGATTTGATTTGATTGCCCAACTCCAAAGCAATTGTAAGCATTAGCAAACTGAATAGACCAGTCTCCCTAACAACAGATGTTTTCCAGATGTGTTGGATCATTTCCCACAATTCTTATACTTTTGGGGGATAATGACAATAGAATTCTAACACATTCATTTGTAGAAACTGAAATAATTCCCCAACCTTCTGTACTTTATTTTGAATTCATGTATTTGTATTAATTTATTTATGTTGTAAGTCATCTGAGAAGCTTTTATGGGTGCAGATTTTCAAAAGAAAATAGATATACACAGAGAGACAAAATAAAGTTTTTATACTGTAATTGGAATTGGTGATGAATTTTGTGCCATTACTTTAGTAAGAAATGTGAGATAATGGTCCTAATCCAAAATGTGATGCTATCATGGTATCCTAAGTACAACCTCATGGGAAAAAAATGCATCTCGGCACATACTAGTAATAAGCTGCAACTCTGAAATCTAAGCACCAAGTAATTTTTTGTTATTTATTTATTTATTTATTTTACTTCAGTGAAAATTTCCTGTAGCCAATCAGAGTTGGAGCCATTATAGGCAAGAAGAGGAAACTTTATTTCTTATATATTTCTCTGCTCACATTTTACACAGTCTCTTGAGCAATGCTGGAAGGATTTTTAAAAATTCAGAAACAGACAGCTGGACAACTCCCATTTGGGGGTTGTGCCAAGTTCTTGTTTCTGATAAAGTTCTTGTTTCTGGGTTTGAAAGATATGCTGGTTGAATAACCTTCATATAGAATGACTACAGCCATTGATCGATCCTTCCTTCCTTCCTTCCTTCCTTCCTTCCAGGGGTGGGATCTGACCGGTGAACTACCGTTTGGGTGATTTATGTTTTGCTGCGTGCGCATGTGAAACGTCATCAGCTTGCTGCCTGGACAGCTGACCAGCGCTGTGCACAGGTGCGCAGCATTGGAAAAAGCACTTTTTTCCTACTTTTTCAACCGCAGGTGTGCTGCGCAAAGCAGTTGAGGTTGAAAAAGCAGGAAATAAAGGTCAGGTAAGAGCCCGGGTGGGCGTGTAGGCCAAAACAGCAGCAGACACAGAACTGGTTCTGTGTCTGCTGCTCTTCAGAGCTACCGGTTCTACAGAGCTGGAGAGAACCAATAGAATCCCACCCCTCCTTCCTTCCTTCCTTCCTTCCTTCCTTCCTTCCTTCCCTCCTTCCTTCCTTCCTTCCTCTTAAAATAATTGCTCTCTCTGACTTATGTGCTGCACAGTTGCAGCACATAAGTGCTAGAATGGTAGAACCATACAATATACAGAAGCTTTTGCACAAATCTCTATCTAGTTATAGATACAGAAGCTAAACCTTTTTCTCACAGAGGGCAAGATGTGTAGTGTCATTTATTCTCCATGTATGTGCTAATTAAATTATTATTATTATTTTAAAAATGTGAACAAGATAGGGGAAACTTGCCAAGCCTCATCTTTTGGAGTGTAGAAAATAAAACTGAAATCCTATTCAGAATAGATAAATTAATATACATTTTTTGAATATATAAACATTCCATGACCTATTAATAATCAATCTATAATTTGGAACCTATATTTTTAACTTATATAACATATATAATTTTTATAACATATTTAATATTTAAAAGGCTGAAATACTGAAGTAAAACACAGAAAACTGATAAGCTAGAATCATTTATTAAATAATATAAATATTCCCCTTGTACATTTATTAAAATATACTGTACTATCAGTAATAGCCATAATAACAAGTAAATGTATTTATGGTGAACATCCCTGAAGTGTAACAATACATTCAGAACTAGATGAAAGTATAAGAAACTATTACTATGGCTAGAGCTGTGATTGGAATAAAATCCATTTTCCAATAAAAAATATGAATCTTTTAAAAAACCTAATATTTTTCTGATGACATCTATAAACTTTATGAAGACTATTCAAACAAAAAGTACTGTAGAAAATGAAAATTATTTCAAATGCTAAAAGCCCGATTTTGAAAATCATTATCAGAGGGTGCAACATTGTAAGGTCCAAAGTGTCATTGTCTAAGTAAACAGCACCATCTGGAGGAATAACCACAAAATATCAAAAAGTCATCATGAGATTTTAAAGAACTATTTCATCTTAATCATAGCCTTCTAGCCATTATGAATTGCCAACCTATGGCAAATACTAGAAATATCTATTCATTAATATCTGCTTTTATAAGAATACTATCCAGATGCTCTGCATCCATGAGCATATTTGGAATTTTAAGCTTATATTGTTGGCACTCTTAACAAAATGACTTCTAGTGGGGATATTTGATGATTTTACCAGATGTCTAGTTACATGGATGACCATTTACAACAACCAATTACAAAGCTGTCACTTTTCCATATCCAGCCCTTCCTCAATTCCTTCCTTGCAGGAACTAGCCTGGTTAGGTGCCCCATTAGGAAAAGGTGGGCACCAACTGAAGGAAATATTGGGATGCACCTGTACCCCATGTTCACTTTTTAATAAAAGTTATAGGAGCTCAATAGAACATATAGTCGTTTTCAGAATAAATATGTTGGAGACATTACATTTTTATTTGCAGGACTCCTGGTGCATGCTAATTAAATTATTATTATTATTATTATTTTAAAAATGTGAACAAGATAGGGAAAACTTGCAGAGCCTCGTCTTTTGGAATTCTTTCAAGCATTTTTAAAAACAGTGCTATGAATACGGTGTGTTTTCTTCTGTGAAGTTTATTTATTTATTGTGCATCTTGTATATTGCCTTTGGAGCAACTCCAGCATTCAGGTTAAAATAGGAATAACAGAAACAAATAAAGAACAACAACAAAAACAAACAAACCCCAAGCAGTAATACATACTCCATTTCAGGAAAAAATAATCAACTCAAACATACTTATAACTATCCAAATAGATTACCAGAGAGCAGATCATCACACCAAGCCTGGACCACTGTATGTGAAGTAACATGTTGTAGCTTCATGTGAGGTGTTTTTTTCTGCTCATATACCTGTTCATGTTCCGTTGGTCTTCGTATGTTTAGGTGCACTGGGAAACAGAGTGAACTCTATATATTCCACTCTATTACCACTGGGTACCATTTAAGTGCCTACAAAAGAAGCTCTGGTGTTTTGTTAGGTACGTTAAAAGCTGTTGATGGGAACTGACCTAATAGGAGGGGCTTAAGAATGCCACATCCCTTCTCCACTGGTGAGGATTCCCCAGTTCTGACTTTGAATGCCCAGCTCAGATATCAAGAAAAGGAAAGTGACAGATTTTGGAGGAGAAACATAGACATACTCCTGCCTTGAATTTTCCATCTTTCCATCTTAACCTATCGGAATAGCCATGTAATTTACTACATTTAAAAAAAATACCTATGCTTATTTTAACTGAGGTATTAAATTGACTTTAGCTCTTCCTCCATTAGTTGACTGGTATCCAACCCACAGCCATGGGGACCCTGAAACCAAAGGACTCATCTTTACATCTGTTTTCATAGTAACATGGGGCCAAAACAGGAGAGTTTCAACCTCTGTTGTGGAAATCACTTTTATCCATTATAAAGGAATAGGAGAGGGTTGACTAGAACACTACTTATCCTGGATTCTGTCACACCTTGGTTTCCTGCTTGACAGCCTACTGTATAAGCAGGGGATAAAATAATTTCTCTTCAGGAGAGTGTAAGAAATCTAATCAATAGTAAGAGAAAATGTCATTCATTTGCATTGTATGCAGAGAGTATATTTTGACCCAGCATCCAAGCAGCAACCTGACCATCCAACTGTCAAGACAGATCAGGTCAGGAAACAGATGTCACAAAAATACTAGAACTCTACTTCATAGATTTGGTTACAATAACAGGATCTTGAAAGTCTGACCACATTTTTCTATTCCTCCCTCTTATACCAAAAGAAGTAAAGGCAGGGGACTTCCAGTTTGAGCTTCTTCAGCGACAGACCGAAACCTCATCTCTGCGAGGCTTTGATCCGTGCTCACCGCTGGAGCGCCCCGAGCCGGCTGGTTTCAGGGCTAAGCCACCCCGTAGAGGTGGTGAAGAGGGGGGAGACTGCCTGCAGGGTTGAGGAGAGCCGCATCTATTCTCCCCAGCTGGCCATTTCTCCCTTTCCCGAAGGCGGTTGCAGCGGTGGTCAGAAATGGCCACCACAAAGAAGAACTCGACCGGAAAAGAATGTGCAGGAGGAAGATAAGAAGAGAAAGTTTTGGTTGACCGGGTCAAACAGCAAAAGCAACAAATAAGGTACCCTGGAATTGAAACTGTTAAAAAACAATAACATTGTTCCCTAAGAAGATTTTTAACCTGCGAAGGAGAGAGAAAAGGGAAAAGATTTGGTTTTCTCCTTTTCCTATACTGACAGCTAAGAGACTTAAGCAAGAAATTGGAAAAAAATCCACTTTGACATCAATAGGCATTTAATGCTGAAAATAAAAAGTCAAAGGTATAATAAAGATTTCTGGATAATTAAAAGCTTTTGAAAACAGGAAAGGAGAGCAAAAGAATAAAAGGGCAGGATCTGGAAGGGAGGAGACTGCCTGGAATTAAAAAAAAAAAACTTACAGCAAAATCTCAACAAGACTTCCAAAAGATGCATTCTAACTGAAATATTGTAACAAAAACCCCAGGAAGAGAAAGTCGAAAAAGAAATAAGATATAACTCGGTACTATTTGGATTACTTGACGATTTCTTGACGAAGTGTTAAAGATGTTAAGATTTTAATGATTATTAATGATAGAACTGAACTGGAATGGAATGAGGGTTTATAATTACATATATTTACAATCTTTCTTTTTTAAAAAAATATATAGTGTGTATTATAAGAATGTACCAAGCAGAATTCGATTGGAAGTTATGTATTATGTATTATATTGAAGGTCATAAACTTAAGGTATATATTGAAGTTTAAATAAGAGTCGAATGGATGTAATTAAAAGATATAAAGGTGTCATACTCCAATTAGTAACTACAGGAGAAAATTTGTTTAATGAGAAAAGATAATATGAAATTGAAACAGAACAGACAAAAGTATAAATATAATGATTTGAATTGAGATGAGATAATCAAAATAAAATTGAGAAAATTAAAAGAGGGGAAAAACTATATAGAAAATGTAAAATAGTATAAGATATGGAATAGAATACAAAAAGGAGCATGAAATTGAGTTTTGTGTCTGTATAAAGAAGTTCAACCAGGGACCATACTATTTTCAAAAAAGATGTTTTACTTGTATTTTGTATGTGTGAAAACCCAAATAAAACTTTATTTAAAAAAAAGAAGTAAAGGCAAAGCAATCTTGATTTTTCTTTCTTACACATTCCTATTTTATTGGGCTAAGTTCATAATTTCTAACATATTTTTCAAGGCCAGCTATGCTGGCTGGAGAATTCTGAGAATTTCCACAGGTCTTAAAGTTGCCAAGTTTGGGGACCTCTGCTCTACACCTATGACTTGACATAATCTGGAAATTCAGTTAAATACCATCCTACACTGGAGTAGGTATTAGCTGCCATTCTTAATATTTATATATGTTTATAGCATGGTATAGAAAAGACTTCTCTTGATACCTAGTATGCCCTGAAAAGTAGTATCAGCTTTAATCATTTTGGTTTCCTAATCTGGTCCACTTTGAAGGGCTGACAGTATACTCACACCAGAAACTTTCCTGAAATGTTTTTAGGTATAAAGAACTATGTGTGGTGTAGGGAGTTAGCAGATTGGAGTACCGCTGGGGACACCGGTGATAGAAAATCACTAATTTCTCTTCAACCCATTTTACCTCACAGGATTGCTACTATGGAGAAAAATTAGAGAACAGAGTGCTATCTTTGCTGTCTTGAGTTCCTGAAGAAAAGGTTGGATATAAACCTAACAAATAAATATATCAAGTCATTGTTGATATAGAACACTGATGTCACTGGGGAGTGTAGTGTTTTGCCCTCTGTTTGCTCCAAGCAAGAAGCATGCATTACACATACTGTACATCCATACATATCCATTGCTATTTTCACTGACTGTTTGCATTAGAATAAAAGGGATATGTGTTATTTCATAAATAAACAATCAGCAGCCTTGTGTTTCTCAGCAGCTGCATAGATCCTTGCCAGCGGGCCCACATTCATGGAAACATTATTTTGCCAGGTTTCAGTTTAGTCTTGTGTTCGGTTCTTACCCATGCTATTATGGATGTTCAAAGTTGTAATCTGGTTTCACATGGAGATAAACTGACCTAATTTGCTTTCCCCTTGATGAAATGTATAACAATATAAGTTATTGTTCCTATTCTGTGTTTCTTCAGATTCTGCAGTGTAGTTTCATCTTTCAAAATATACCACGATGCCAGATGTGGTATTCAGCAGGTTCTGACCAGTTCTGGAGAACTGGTGGTGGAAATTTTGAGTAGTTCAGAGAACCGGCAAATACCACCTCTGTCTGAAGATTTTACAGCATCCTTCCCCTGCCATGCCCACCAAGCTATGCCCACAGAACCGATAGTAAAAAAAAAATTGAATCCCACCACTACACAATGCATATAACATATTTAAAGCAATCATAAGACATATTGATTGATTTTTTTCCTATGGGATTCTATTCCCACCAGAAAGCCCCTTCTTGAACACTGGTACAAAAAGAGATGGAATGGACATATGACCGAACAGTCATGAACTTAATACAAAAAAATCTCTCATACCCTATTGACCTTGCCTTACTGTTCAACTCATGAACATTAGAGCAGTACCAAATTTTTAAAAGAGATGTTTTGCAAAGCAGGCTGGTATAAGAAACCTTTTTCAAACCATTAAAGCCAAAGAGTATATCAAAGGATTTGACACACTTGTTCTCAAAGTCTTTACCCAACTGTGTGTTTATGTATATATGACTAAGTAACACTTCTGGTTCCATCAGCAAAGTGAACCAGTTATGCACACATATGGGAAAGACTTCAAAACAGTCATGTCAAATCTTTTGGATGATGTGGCTGCTTTAACATTTCAAGGAGTATGTTGCTTGCATCAGTATATTTTGCAAATTTCCTCTTTATGCTGCCATATATTGATAAAAAGATAAAGGTCTATCCACTTCATCAGTTTCCTACTTACCTCCATTTTTTCCCATACAATTTCATTATTCTCTTGGTGTTGTATATCTTCCATCAGCTGCTGTATCAAAGCTGATTTATTTGTGAGAGTTATTTCATTTTTATCAGAAACATGACATATTGATGGCTTTCGTGGCCTATCTTCTAGGAACCTTTTCATGCTAGATGAGGATGTGCAAAGTTCTTCATCAGAAAGGATATCACTAAGAGGGCCCGATTCAATGCTGTCTCCTACTGAAGATATGATGTCACTTGAAGAGCTTGGTGAAGTTCTACCTAACCTTTTGCGCTTCTTTTTGACCTGGTAGGTTGGGTAAAGCTCTGAATCTGAATTCATTTCAGATAGTTCCCAGTCATCGATGTTTTGAAGAGTTTCTCCTGGAGATTTCTGTGGAAGCAATTTTGTCAAATTTTCTAATTTCAAAGCTAATACTTCTGTCTGTTTGAGATGCGATGGAAGAGCTAAGTATTCATCAGAGCCATACCAGGCGTCACCCATTTTATTTTCTGTGCTGGTATTATTTGGTGAAGGTGAGTGGGTCTTTTCAGTCTTGTTTCTTTGAAGAAGGGGGAAGGGAGATACAGCAGGATCTGATCCAGCTGAAAAGCTGCTGACTTGGCTATGAGTGGGTGAAGCAGATGGTTCTCTTTCACTGCAAGACTGGCCATTCAGTTCTTCTTGCTTGTAAGGTTCAGAAGAGGTTGATGTTGTGTCACTTTCTGTTCCTTCTATGGAGTGCCTGCTGCCAGAAGAAATTCCATTTTGTAAAGCCAGAGTGCCTATTTTGTTCATCTGGTTGCTTGGTGTAGTATTTGATGCCATTTCAGAAACCCTGCAGGATGCCACCTCCTCAGGAATGTCATGTGACTTCTTGCACCTCAGCTTCTGCCTTCTGGCATTGTCACTTGACTTACTTAAAGCCATGGACTTTTCTTTGAAATGATTTTGAATTGCAAACTTGAGTTCACTTATGTTGTGCAAACAATCGCACGACTGACTTATGGCAGAAGGGCAATTATTGTATGCTGTTTGTAATGCTAGGCAAAGCTTGGATCGGTCTGGTGGCTCAAGCAGTGAGGGTGTGCTCTTACTGATTTCTGTCTTAATCAAAGAGAACTCATTTTTTATATCATTGACTATAATATCTGTTTTAAATATGTCTTCTTTGAGAAACAAGCCCCTCTTGGGCAAGGTGGGCTGTGTGGGCGAATCCTCATTGTAGTCACTGCCATCTTGAATTGACCTCTTGGGAGTTGAGTTTTCACTGTGAGGGTGATGATTAGCTTTTACACCACTGATGGACACTGGATTTTGCTCCTGTTTTATTGTTTCTAAGACCTTCCTGTGGCCAAATGAGACAGCCGAATCCCCAGAAGCTACTTTACAAAAGGGTAAGTGCTCAAAAAGATGAGTGAGTGAAAGTTCAGTAGATATAGTTGATGATTCTTTGCAACTTTGGCTGTCCCCCTGCAGTTGATCAATTGACAAGGGTAAATGGATTTCCTTTGTATTAATACTTTCATTGCATTTGGAAGCACTTGAATCTGTTGCTACAGCCAGTAATCCCACACTTCTAGTAAGTTCTGGAAAGGCTTTGTCCATTTCACTATAGCTCCAAGACTCAAAGGATGTTATTTTAGCTGGGCTGGAAGTCATGTCCCCAAGAGCACCAAGCAAATCCTCACTCGGGCTGTAGTCAGACAGTTCAAAGGCAGTAATTCCACAGTCTAGGGATAAATAATTTTGAGAGCATTTGATAGTTAGCTGTCCTGAGTCATCCACTTCTGTTAAAGAATCAAGACGGTCCTGTAACAAAATCAAAAGAGGAAAAACAGTTGTGCTTATGATTTTTAAACGCTATAATGCTAAACCTTGCAAATACAGAAACAGGAACAGTGCAGGGGTGGGTGTCCTTTTGATCTTCAGAACATTACTGATCATAAAATTATCACATTGCTTTATAGATTTCACTGAAAATGGGTAACATTAATTAAATAATGAAGAATGGAAGAGATTGTTGGCAGCTTTAAATAATTGGTGCTGAAGTGATGTGCTATGCCTGGATAACATTAAATGGAATGCGAATGGCAAAAAGTTCATGAACCAATGTTTAATGGAGCCTTATGCATTAAAGTCAGTCTCTGATGGCATTTTATTATATTATTCTTATTTATTACTATCATTCAAGAAACACGAAATAATAATTAATTTGTTCAGAACTCAGTATATAACCTGGGTTAGTTGTATATCTTTACAACTTTAGATAGTCAGGATATTTCTTTTTTTCTCTTAACTTGCATACATGGAATATTACAATGTTTTGATTTATCTCATAGTTTTTTAAAAAAATCTCATTTTGTATTATTCAGTTGCCACTTAATTAAGCAAAAAGATAAAACTTCTATTTTCTGTTTTTTATTCTTTCTTCAGGCCAGGAACATAACTTTAAAACTGGGAGAATTCTTAAATAATCATTTAATTTCTAAATGAATATTTTTTAAAAAATACTCTTTTGTGGGTAGTTTAAAGACTGATCAAAGCAATGCAAGCATTCAAAAAATTCTATAAAATTTCATTAAAATAGATTTGGAATTATAACAGATCACCTGCCATTGTTTATGTTAATTTGTATTACTGTGTAATTGCCATAATAGATTTGTATAATTTTTAGAATAGTTCCTAATTCTTGTTTAAATCAAAGGCATGCTAGGATATTATGATTATTAAACAAATGTGTTGATTTTTTTTTAAGTTCTAGCTGAGGCAGACATACAAAATACATTACGATAGAAATATAGAAGGTTGGAAAGAACTATTGTTTCCCCTACATTTTCACATCAAAATTCCCCAGGTTAAAATATATTTTCTGGAGTAATATTGGGGACAAATATTGTACTGTATTTCCAACTTGTTTTTGCTTTTCTTTCTTATACTATCCAAGAGCATCAATGTTGAGAGTGAAATAGTTGTTTTCCTGAAACATGCCATGACTTGGACTCTGTAACACAGGGGTCCCCAACCGCCGGTCCGCGGACCGGTACCGGGCCGCGGAACAAGCCTTACCGGGCCGCTGGTTGCTGGGCGCCGCCATCTTTTTTTGGTAAAAAAAGCAATTTTTCGTCAAAAAAGATGGCGGTGCCAGCGCTTCCGGTGAGCTTTTCCGGGTAGAAAGCCATTTCTACCCGAAAAAGCTCACTGGAAGCGCTGGCGCCGCCATTTTTTTTGATGAAAAAATCGCTTCCGGTGACATCACCGGAAGTGATTTTTCATAAAAAAAAATGGCGGCGCCCAGCTGACGCCGGAACCGGGCCGCGGCGCCCAGCTGACGCCGGAACCGGGCCGCGGCGTCGAAAAGGTTGGGGATCCCTGCTGTAACACACTCTTGACCTGGTTTTGTCCTGCTTGTAGCCCTGTGAAGTGAGGAAGGTACAAGCTTTCCTTATTCTAGTATTTACCCCCTACAGCAGAACTATAAAAACTATTTCTGAAATTTCATGCAGGACACAAAACAAATTTACAGCCAAAAAATATAACTGTTCATTGAAAAATAGTCCCAAATACTTATTTTCTTCTTAGGAAGCACTCTCCTCAATAGTGTGACTATTTTTGAACCATGCCTGTCTATCTGTCTGTCAGTCAGTCACTGTGAGTGTGTGGTATGTGTGTTTGTGTGCGTAAAGGTCTGTCTCTATTTGTCTCTCTTGTCTGTCTGTCTAGTACAAGGATCTTCAAACTTGGCAAGTTTAAGACTTGAGGACTTCAACTCCCAGAATTCCTAAGCTAACATGACCAGAGGAAGAATTCTGAGAGTTGAAGTCCACAAGTCTTAAAGCTGTCAGTTTGAAGACCCCTGCTCTAGTATCTCCCTGAAAACTTATTTGCATTTTTTTTTATCTCCTGCTTCATGGACAGAAGAAATCTAAGTTCCAGTAAATTTGTCCTACCCTTATGGCAAAGATTTACCCCTGTTTCATTTCCCAAATAGCATTTCATTTTGGTTGTTTTAAGAATATTGTATCGTGCTGTTTTGTAATGGGGAGAAGTTCTTACATATGACCTTGTGGCATGTTACACTCAACAGGTTTGCTGGGAAATACTATTCCACAAAAGGAATAAAGAATGGTTGGCTGAAATAGCTATTGACAAAACAGACTGAAACATTGGCTGAAGGGAGGTGGTATAACAGACCCTCAATATTAAAAATGAATATGTTTGAGATCATGTTAGGGTTAGGGTTAGAATAAGAGCCATAGGTGCAACACAAAGCCATTTTTAATTAATTCCACTGACTACTGGAATTCATATTTACAGCGTGTCTCTAAATGCAACATTTACTGCTCCCAAGACAATCAGGAAAAAAGGAGTTGCACCCTCAGGAATGCAATGCAAGATCTTAAAAGTCAACAGCATACATTTTAACATTTGGGGATAAGGTGCAAAGTACTGATAAATTTCTTTAATGCATAAAAATAAAAATTCATATCTAATAGTGCTTGGGGAAGAGCTTTGGAATGTAAGATCAAATTTTAGTCATGTAGTCATTCATTAGATAATGTAAGTCTAGATTTCTTCCTCTGAAACTATGGTTATAGAACTCATTTATTTACAACCATGATTTGGAATTTCAATCAAAATTAGATCTAAAGAAATGGTGGATCAAAGGCAGATTCCAACAGGAAATGCAGGTGGGAGGGGAATGGACTCAGTTTCAGAACCAACCACTCTCTTCTAATCTGCTTCTGAAAAAACTATGAAGTGATTTATATTTATATCATCTTTATCAAGCTTCCGTTATTTAAACTGTAGCTGGTAGGAAGAAAAAGAACCAAACCAACAGTTCTGATCAATTCTTTGTAAATTTAAGTATACATTTATGTATAAATGTCTAACTTAAATCAGTGGTGGGATTCAAATTGTTTTACTACCAGTTCTGTGGGTGTGGCTTGGTGGGCGTGGCAGGGGAAGGTTACTGCAAAATCCCATTCTTTCTCCATCCCACTAACCTGCTTTCCAGCTCCGTTTTCCTGTGCAGGGCAACAAAAGAAGACCCAGTCAATCAGCTGGGACTTGGGAGGGAGAGAATAGATGGGGGCAGAGCCAGTCAGAGGCGGTATTTGCCGGTTCTCTGAACTACTCAAAATTTCTGCCACCGGTTCTCCAGAACTGGTCAGAATCTGCTGAATACCACCTCTGACTTAAATCAAGTGAGAGTTTGTAAAGCCAAAATTTATCAGATCCTCCAAGCTGACAATTTGTATTTTATTTCTAAATAGCAGGGTCTCAATTGCTGTGACTAAATGAAGCATCTAACACATATAGAAATGAGTTTTTGCCTGAATTTGAATTCAGATTAAATTCAGTATTCTGTTCAGAAATCAACTTCGAAGTTAATAAAGGACTTAATGCTGTTCAATTAGAAGATCCTTCTATCCCATACTATGAGAAAGTCTAAATCTTTTGCTACAGGTTTATGGAGTATTAGATGGTTCTGCCCATGTTTATCTCTTCAATTAATTGACAGAAGGTAACATGAAGATGACCCACTATGAAGCCATCATGAAGCACTGGCATTAGTTCCACTGTCATCTTACAGTCTCTGTAGAATATTGATCTGTCAGAGCCAGAGCAGGAAAAAGTGAAACATGTTATATTTAGTGAATTAATTTCCAAGAGTTTCTACAGCAGTGCTCAATATTTTAAGAAACTGTTATACTGCCATGCACTGTCATGCACTGTCACGCTTTGATGGCAATGTCCATTTAAATAGGATTGTTTGTAATTTGTAGTGATCAATTAATTAGATAAGCATTGTGCACTCAAGAAAGGAACAGCTCATCAGTTCATATATAATCCCGAGAATTAAGAACATAAGAAGCTATAGTATGTTAGACTATGGTCCACCTTAACCCTGTATTGTTTCTCATAATGGCCAACTAAATGAAACTGGGTGCTTACTAGCAGAAAAATAAGATACCTGTCTTCTGCAATTGTTCCCCTGCATATTCTTTCCAATCTGGTGGAAGTATAAAGTCTTCACATCAAATAGCCTTAGATACATATCCAAGTTAACAGCTATCATCATACAAGGGGCAATTAATTTTGCAGATGGATTGTGCTTTATGTGAAGATCTGTTTCCTTTTATCTCTTTTAAATCTTCACCCCAATCAGCATTTGGACCATTTCACCCCAGTGCTTCCAGAGAGAGAGAACTTTAGTCTTCCTTATTTTATACACCTCAATCTATGTTGTTCTTGAACTGACTTTTTTTTTCAAGTTAAAGAGACCTGAACAGCCCTTTTCATAGAGAAGATGTTTGAGTTATTATTATTATTGAGTTATTATTTTGGTTGACCTCATCAGCATTTTTTCAAGGTCTATTATATCCCTTTTCAAGCCGTCGTCATAATGTTTATATTTTTCCCTATGTTCTTGGTAGGACCATTATTTTGAAAACATAATGACGTAAGATGGTCTAAAATGAAAGCGAGTGTGTGATGTTTGTCTGTCTGTCTGTCTGATTCTGTGTCTCTATCTGTGTCTGTGTGAGTCCTCAAAAGAGCACTGTGCCCTGTGTATGCAAGAGCTATTGTGTATACGCTGACAGAAAGAATAAAAGTATTTTAAATTAAAGGACAAGATGTATAGAATTCTTACCGATTCCAGCTGTCTTTACATTGTTATGATTTTTTCAGCTGTCCCTAGGAATGGCTCAAAATCTTGCTTTTTTGTTGAAAAAAAGTTTATGGCAGTGAAATAGGGCAGAATCTAAATACTCCAAAATAATGCCAATCCATAGGACTTGTATGCAAGAATGTATGTGAAAGATATTCCACTTTTGAATAAATTACAATTTAAATGAGATTTATGACAGAGGTTGTTCAAGTTTCAAGAAAATCTTGCCTATAATGAATGTGTGCATATTTGTGTAATCATGGGGAAAATATTACTTGTGGGTTAATACATTCCCTTAACAGTATTGTTAATGTGAACCTGTATGCTTCTATTAAGGGCATCATTATGATTGATGTATCTACCTCTGTGTTAATAATGGGGAATAAGCAATGCACTTAGCTATCTTTACAGCTTAAGGTTACAATAGCGTTTTGCTTTTAGCTCTACAGTTATCTCTGAAACAGCCACCTCAAAGAAAATACATTTCATTTCAGCTGGATCAGTCACTCTGAAGGAAGAACTATCGTGTCATTTTGCTTTACTAAAACGGAATGAAACTGGAGTTACCTCAGCTGGCCTAAACCGAGCATATTCTGCTGCAAATTGATTTATTTGCTTTAATAAGGGCCTCAATGGGCAAACAATTCTAGGATTTAGAACTCAAAAAGGAATTTCTTATATTTACTTGCCATACCTCTTTTGTTTCTTCTGTAAAAGCTTGCAAAATATCAGTTTGCCTTGTATAATTTCCATTGGCATCTTGCAGTCCCTGAAGAATCCTCTCTCTCAGAACCAGGACAGAAACTCGAAGCTGATGCCAAAGAAACTGTACTGTGTGGATGTCAACAATTACATTGACCGAGTAAGACAGAAGTTTAAGGGAAAATTCAGTCTCTAGAAGAGCATGGATTTGTTCAACATGATCAGAGATATCTTCACATATGTCCTGCGACAAGAGAAAAAAGAAAATATTACCCACAATTTTTTCAAATTTCATTCATTCATTCACTATATAAAAGGCATAAAGATTGTGCATACAAGCACACACACACAGTGCTAGTGACTTAATATGCACATGAGATCAAAGCTCATTTTTGATATTTTATGAACTCCAGGAAAATTGATATCTTTTGCACTTTTCTGTAGATTGTACTGGTGAGAATAACTAGCATCTTAATAAATCATTATCTGAATTCTAAGCATACTATGTTTTAAATACTGTGATCTGTCCTAAAAAAATTGAAATGGTATACTGTCTCTTTTAAAATGTGTACATAGGTTGTTATGTTAATGAGAACTGATTGATTCTAACAGCAGTGAAAGATGCTTTCAACGCTGTAGATATAATTATAATCCTTTAGTAAATAATAGGGTTTTTCCCCAAAAAATTGGTATTCTTTCTTAGAGAAAACAGCATATATAAGAAAGCTTACATGATGCTGATATAAACTTATTTTGATTACTTCCAACATTGATTTTATGACATCCAGTGCTAAAGATTGGCTGCTGCACTTGAGCTCTGTAACAAACACAACAGCTAATAATAATATCAAGATAGCATAATTACAATAACTAGAATGATAATGCTGAGGTACATGTACTGCCAAGTTATCTAAGTAGTTCATTAACAATGACAGAATGTAGTTTTTTTTAGATTGTATGTTAAGAACCAATTATATTTCTATTCAATGAACTTCTCTTCTGGCTCTGATCCTCCATCCAAAGATTAAATGCCTCCTCCTACACTTTCCCTCTAGGTAAATCCTGCACCCCATACAAGCCATATTTGTATCATGTGTCATATGCAAGAATGTACAAAGCATCACTGTTCTACTTTACATTTGTGAACATCTTTGTTTTCTTAATTGAGGTTATTGAAATTAAATCATGTACATTAATTTGTCTCAGCTGACCAATACCAATGTTACATAGCTCATTAATTTGTATACTACCAAATTTAATATATCAATTAAAAATAAAGAACTATGGATGTTAGTTGTTTTGAACCAATAAGGACTTGTTTATTCATATTAACGAATATCATGTTTGCATATGTACTGAATATATCAATTATTTAAGTATTTGTATAATATTATTTTAGATATATTTCTCAAATAATTACACTGAATGTGAATAAGATATATAAGTCATTTCTCTGGCTTTGACAGATAAGAGTCATTAAACCTTATCCCTTGGGGTATATAACAATAATAAAGAGTATAATTCCCATGATATTTTATATTTTGCATGAAATGTGCATATATGAAAAAGTGTATTTATAGAAAAAAAATTAAAAATTTAGTATCCAGTTTTGTAAGTTTGAATCAAGTTGAAATGATATATTTGAAACAAAAAAATGCTATTTTCAGTTAAAGATGGGGCAGCTGATTCTTTTGATTGTTATTTGACTAGTATCAAATCTTGGACATCTTCACTTCCTGCAAATTCTCTTCCTTAGGAACTTTTGGAATATTTGTATATAGTATCTTTGGTTAATTGTCCTCCTTTTAGATTAAAAATAATAACATATTATTTCTGGGAAAATATGTTTTCATCCTTTTTCTAAGTTAATTTGACCTATGGAATATCTTTTGGAGTATTTGTATATGCAGTGGTACATTTAGTTAATTAGACTCTTTTGGGTTAAATATAATACCCATTTACTATATCTCCTAATTTGACCTATGGGATACGCGAGATCTCTGCCTTTGATTGATCCAGGACTGCCTTTGATACTTGGAAAAACAGACTACAATTTTTCAATGATTTAACTCCTATCTAAATGGGAGGTTCCAGATGAAAGTCACAGGGAAGAGCAATAAAGCCTAGGGCGGTAGATGGTACGTTGCAGGGCACAGTGCATGAAATGACTCTGTTGGCATAAGTCATCCATTGATTTGGGTTGAAATAATGCAGTATGTTGATGGTATTCAATGGTACATTATCCCTCTATGCTAAATTGCAAATTCTATGGAGGTCTTGAAACAGTATCTGGAAGCTATTAGGGACTAGATGAAAGAGTTCTAGAACTATTCATAAACATGTTAAGTGTCCTGAAATATCATTTCTCATTAGTGGTGATATTCCTCTCCTATATACAGGTTGTACCAATATCAGGCCTACATACTATTATAAAAATTACATTAACTGCTTCAATTTGTTGTATTTATTTTGTTATTTATTTATTTTTTCAAATTTATATAGTCACCCATCTCACAAAAACAAGTAACTGGGTGAAGTATAACCAAGTTAAAAAAACAACAGTACACAAATAACAATTATTAAAAACATTTTAAAAATTATAAAAAGGCAGCTAAAAAGATAAATAATGGGTGAAGAGATATCAGTAACAATGGAGCCACCTCAGTTAACACTTCCTTACTGATTTGACACATGACCTTTGAACATTACTAACTATAATAATATATTACTTGAGAAAAATTAATAAGATATATTGTGATTGACTTATGTGTCCTGATTTTTGATAGAACCTGGATTTGCATGAGCAGCAGAAATATGCTTACTATCTGCAGATCCCCAGGAAGGTAGAACTTAGAATAACTTTATTTTCACTTTGAATGTACACTAATCGGCATACATTAAAATGAAATTATGTGGCATACAGCTCCCAAAGGGTCTCCACCTCTAATATAAACATAAACATGACAAGATAGATAGATAAATAAATGAATAAACACATAATTATGCATGTACCAACATATATTACATGACATGGAGAAACAACACAGTCTAGTTTGGATGTGCACACGTACATGGCGAGAGAAATAAATCTTGCAAGTTTACCAGACGGATGGCATAGGAAACAAAGCTGTTACAGAATCTGGAAGTCCTGCTAGAAATATTTTGAAACCTCCTTCCAGAGGATAGCAACAGAAAAAGACCATAAAGTGGGTGTGTGGGGTCTCTAACAATAATCCTGGACTACAGATGGTGTCCAATATTCAAAAGCTCATGTTCATCTCTTGAACACTTTCCTTCTTCAATTGCTGATTTCCTTTCTTCAAACCTGTTTCAGTTATTCTTTTCATAAGGTAATGCAGCTTACATAATCCTAGCTGTGGAAAAGGGAGGTTTGCTGTCTGAATAGATTCATGCATGGCACTAAAGGTAAAGGTGAAGGTTTACCCTCACACATAAGTGCTAATTATTTCTGGCTCTAGGGGGCAGTGCTCATCTCCATTAGAAAGCCGAAGAGCCAGTGCTTTCCAAAAATGTCTCTGTGGTCACGTGGCTGGCATGACTAAATGCTGTTACCTGCCCACCAAAGTGGTCCCTATTTTTCTACTTGCATTTTTACATGCTTTCAAACTGCTAGGTTGGCAGAAGCTGGGACAAGTAACGGGAGCTCACTCCATTACACGGTGCTAGGGATTCAAACCACTGAACTGCTGACCTTTCTGATCAACAAGCTCAGCATCTTAGCCACTGAGCCACCGCATTCCTCTACATGGCACTACCACTTAGTTTATTTAGTTTTGGTTTTAGTTGTTTTAGTTCATGTATCATACTAAGTCATAAAGCATAATATAAAGAAAAAAAATGTTGGTTGGTTTCCAACCCACTGCAGGTGAAGAGCATCACGTTTCTGCGGAGTACACAAAGATGGCACATATCATGACAGCATGACAGACAAAGAGGAATGAAATCTTAGCAAGTAAACAACAATGGCAGGATTATCAGACACTTTTTGACAGTTAGGAAGATAGATTAGGCAAGATAAACAACTCTTGCTGCCATTATGCATTAAGTCTTCAAGATTGAAACTTAGAAAATTAGAATTAGGATTTCAAGTAAATCCTCATGTGGTACACAGAGCACAAAAAGAAAATGGAACAAACTATATTACTGATTTTGACCTCTGATTAGCCTTCAATTTTTGTTAATAAAAATATGTGATTTAAGAAATCTAGCCATCAATCATTAGCAGAAATTTTGTCCCTTTGGTTCAAAATCCAGCAATCAGATAGTAATCCCAGGACTAAAAAAATACTTTTTTGCTAAAAATTATGCCCACTTTATACCAGTTGCTTGAAATGTTTTGTTTTTTAAAACATAATTTATCAAGCACAAAGTTTGCAAATCTATGGATTTGATTTTGAGTTGTAGTTTATACAGAACTACTTAGAGCTATGGAATTTCTCAACACATTAAAGCCTGTCTTCTCTATTATACCAACTATCCACTTAACCCAGCCTACGTAACAGCTGAACCAATAATTTACAGTTGCTACAATCTATCAGACAAACCCTGTGCCAACTTCAAAAAACTCTAGTATAAAAATACTGTCGCAACAAAAGCTTGAACACTGATACACTTTATTTACTTGGAAGTTAGTTCTAGTGAATTCAAAAGTCTTATTCCCAGGAATGAAAATATGGATTTATAACATCTACTCCGGTCAGTGGTGGGATTCAAATATTTTTACTACTGGTTCTGTGGGCATGGCTTGGTGGGTATGGCAAGGGGAAGGATACTATAAAATCTCCAGTCAGAGATGGTATTTGCCGGTTCTCCAAACTACTCAAAATTTCCGTTACCGGTTCTCCAGAACTGATCAGAACCTGCTGAATACCACCTCTGACTCAGGTCTATTTTTTTTAATTATGCATGTTTAAAAAATAAGTACTGATGGAGGTTTTTTTCTGGGGTTATTACAGTGCAGCAATATACAGCATACAAAATCTTATAGAATATAAAAACTTCCAGGACTTCATGATTACAGAATAAGAGCATCACAAATAAATGTATGGCTACATGTCAGGGGTGGGATTCAAATTTTTTAACAACCCGTTCTGTGGATGTGGCTTAGTTGGTGGGCGTGGCTTGGTGGTCATGTTATGGCTGGGCATGGCCAACTCAATATCACTCACATTGAGGCATGCATCTCCTCGCCTGGCCTCTCATGACTGTGGGGATGCTGCAATA